CGTTCTCATTTCAATAAAAAATTCATAAAGATAAAAAGTTTCATTCAAGCATGCCAAATGAGTAACATAGAATTACAACCCAAAATAAATACTACTATTATCTATGAAATCTCTATGACATGGAATGAAATAGTCAACCAAGGCATACCCTCGTGGCTCAAAAGAATAATAACAACGATAAAGTCCTCCACGAGTATAGTGTGGAGTCTCACCAAAAAGTGTCAACAGAAAATGTAGAGATGTCCTATCCACGGGGCTCAAGCAGCTCAGGTCTAGTCCCTGAAAACAGAAATGAAAATGTGGTCATAAGGCCTAAGCTCCACATGCCTAGTACGAATCATGAACCGTTTAAAAAAAAACTTGAACAAGATTTAAGAAGATATAAGATATGTAATAACAATTGATATAGGAAAGACGTATTTGTATCAGTTAACAATTTAGTGTCACGACCTGGAATCCCAACCACGGGGTCGTGACGTCAACCATAGAATTAATTAACTTTAACAATTTAAAAGTGGAACATTAATAATTTAAAACTGAAATACTCTGAAATGCACGTTATAAAGACATAAGTAACGTAGTCTATATGTAACGACCCGGCCGGTCGTTTTTGGAATTTACGTCCCGATCCCCCATTAACTACTTCCCCTAAGTTCATTTCTGCTATTTTGGTATGCCGGGACGTTCGGTGTTAAGTTTTGGAGAGTTTTGGGACACTTAGTCCCTAAATGAGAGCTTAAATGTTGAAAAATGGTCCGTAGTCGGAACAGTGTGAAGACAATCTCGAAATGGAAATCCGATGGTTCCGTTAGCTTCGTTAGGTGATTTCGGGGTTGCGAGCATGTTTGGAATGTATTTTGGAAGTCCGTAGCTTATTTAGGCTTGAAATGCCGAAGTTTGAATTTTTGAAGTTTTCGATCCAATAGTGATGTTTTGATCCGAGGGTCGGATTGGAATTCCGGAAGTAACAGCAGTTCCGTCATGTCATTTGGGATGTGTGTGCAAAATTCCAGGTCATTCGGACGAGGTTCGGGTAGGTTTTTGATCGAAAGCGTGTTTTGTTGGAAATTGAAGTTCCTAGGCTTGAATCCTTGATTTAATCGGGTTTCCGGTGTTGTTTTAGGTGTTTTTAAGATTTGTACAAGTTTGAATAAGGTATTAGGTGGTATTGGTGCCTTTGGTTGAGGTCCCGGGGGCCTCGGGATGATTTCGGGTGGTTAACGGAAGAAGTTTGGAAGCTAAGAGGTAGCAGTTCTGCTGCTTCTGGTATCTCTTCGCTTCTGCGGTTCCCTCGTAGAAGCGATATTTGGTCACCTTACGGGAAACCGCAGAAGCAGATCCGCTTCTGCGAGATGGGAACCGCAGAAGCGGAAGCTGGGATTTTAAAGGAAGCCGCAGAAGCGGCCAGTGTTCCGCAAAAGCGGGACCGCAGAAGCGGAAGTCCCTGGGCATAAATAGAAATGTCGAGGGTTTAATTTCATAAGTTTGCAAAATCAATTAAGAGCTCGGTTTAAGGCGATTTTGAGTGGGATTTGAAGTGAAGATCACTGGGTAACGTTTCTTTGGTCCCTTCTTGTTATATTTCATCATTATATAGTTAAATACACCATTGGAATTCGAATTTAGGATCAAAAATTGGATAATTTAGGGTAAAACTTCATTGCCTAAACTATTGAATTTTGAGTGGGCATTTGACCTCCGATTTGGGAGATTTTTATATGGTTAGACTCGTGAGGGTGCGAGGGGTCTAAAAATGTGAAAATTATTCGATTCCGAGGCGTTGTCCTGAAGGGCATTTTGGTCATTTCACCTAATTTCACGCCGTAGCTTTGAATTTAATAGCAAAACCAGGTGTTTGCGATGTTATTTACAATGTGTACTTGAATTGAATAGATTTGGGCCATTTGGAGTCGGATACTCGTGGCAAGAGCGTGGTTTCTAGTTGATATTGAGTCGGTTCGAGGTAAGTGGCTTGTCTAACTTTGTGTGGGGGACCTTTTCCCTTAGGATATGATCTTGAATATTTGAATGCCTCGTACGTGAGGTGACGAGCGCGTACTTGAGCTAACTGTTGTAAATCCGTTTCTACTTGAAGTATTTAAATTGAGATTTCTTGTTTACTTGTTCATTTTTAACTGTAAGTTTGTACCTGTGCTAGCTTAGAGACTTATGTTTAGCTGGCTTACTTGCTTATTTGTTTTAGCTGTGCTATTTGTACTCTGTGAAGCATGTTAGGCTATAATTTACTACCTCTTGTCCTGATTATTAGCATTGTTCCGAGATTTATGAATCGTTGTTGTTGTGTGTTTAATTTGGGACTACGGGACGGCTTCCCAGGAGATCCCCCTGCACTTGAGATATTCTGGACTGAGGGTGCGGGATACCAAGAGATCCCTAGTACATGTGTTTCTATATATATATATCGGGATACCGAGAGATCCCCAGTGTTGATGATGAGGATACCAAGAGATCCTCGGGATACCGATGAGATCCCCAATGTTGATGATGAGGATACCAAGAGATCCTCGGGATACCGAGAGATCCCCAGTGTTGATGATGAGGATACCAAGAGATCCTCGGGACACCAAGAGATCCCCCGGCTACCATTCCGTGTTGAGAGCAGTTTTCCGTGTATTGTTACCTTTGTTTTCTATTACTGTTCTTCCTTATTTACCTGGGTTAGATTCTCGTTGTAGACTTTATTTAAACTGTTTCTGTTATCTCATTATTTATTATGTTATCTCAGTAGGGCCCTGACCTTCCTCGTCAATACCCGACCGAGGTTAGGCTTGGCACTTACTGAGTACCGCTGTGGTGTACTCATGCCCTTCCTGCGCATGTTTTTTCATGTGCAGATCCAGGTACCTCTACTCAGGCGCACTATCCTTGAGGCGAGGAGATACACGGAGACTTCGAGGTATATCTGTCGCGTCCGCAGACCAGGAGTCTCTATTCTGTTCCAGCTTTAGTATTTAGTTTACCCCTTTTCTCTCAGTTGTTTAGATATTCTGGAGTTAGAGCAGCGTACTATGTTTTCTGTTAGCCTGTGGTTCCCCTGAGTTTCCGGGTTTTGGGATTGAGTTGTAGACTTACGCATTTCTTTTGAGTTGTATAGGCCGAGCGGCCTTATATGCAGTTATTATTATAATATGATCAGTTTTAATTAATTATTCCGCAAGTTAGGTAGTTATTTCCGCATTGTTAGGCTTACCTAGTTATAGGGACTAGGTGCCATCACGACATGTTCATGGGGGGTGAACTGGGGTCGTGACACTATACTATTCCCAGAAATCTGGAGTCACAAGTACATGAGCGGCTAGAATACTAAAAATATGGTCTTAGTGAAATACATTTGTTTGAAACAAGATAAACAGTAAAAATAAACTAGAAGGGCATTTCAGGGACTGCGAACACCAAGCATCTCTACCTCAAGTCTCCTGGCAAGTCAAATCCGAGCGAACTCCTCTACGCACCACTGGGACCAACATTGGGATCTGCACAAGAAGTGTTGAAAATACAATATGAGAACAACTGATCCCATGCAATTTGTAAGTATTGAGCCTAACCTTGAAGAAGTAATGACGAAGCTATGACAAGACACTCACAATAAACTTATACAAATAATAATAAAAGACAACAGAAATATAGAGAAAAACGAGTAATCTCGTAAGAACAGACCCGAAGGTTAACTAACAGAAGGCTCCAGAATAACATCAACTCATAACCTCATGTCACAGTACCGAGATAAAGCACTATAACTACAAATAGCTACAACACATCATACTCTATTGCGGCGCGCAACCCGATCCTAACTTTTATCACAATATCTGTTGTAGTGTGCAACCCCTCTCAATATCATTTACAATATATGTTGCGGCGTACAATCCGATCCAAATAATAAATTAATATCTGTCGCGGCATGCAACACGTTCTCATTATCAATTCACTTCAATACTGTTGCGACGCGTAATCCGTTCCCAATATCAACTCATCAACATGAACAACTCAACACAACTCAATTTCGTAATCTTATCACAAAAGAAATAAAGTGTATAGAACCTTAAGGAACTATCAGTACAAACAGAGAATAACCAATACCTAGTATTCACAAACCTCGACAAATCATCATTTCAAGAATAGCTAAGGACTCACATAATCGGAATAAAATAATGAAGTGCAATAAGTAATGTAAAGACAATAAAAACAAGTAGAAGTTAAACAGGTATTGAGTGACGAATGAATAAATCGAAATAAGTAACAACTAATTGATAGATAACAAGGCATGGATAACAAGGAAGGACGTGTAGCAATCAAAGCATATAACAAAATATAACACAGAATAAATAACGACGTAAGGATAAATAGCCCGACCCGCATGCTTTAATTCATGGCAGCGTATAGACACTCGTCACCTCGCATATATATCGTTCCCACACATAATTCACATAAAAAATTAGATCAACAAGTCCTAACTCCCGCAAGTCAAGATTAAACACGACACATACCTCTTTGCACAACCAACTCAACAATCAGCCATAGATTTTCCTTCAAACAAGCCTCCAAACTAACCAAATCTAGCCAAATATAGTTCAAAAATTCAAAATAAGTTTTAAAAACTACCCACAAATGAAAAAGGTTCAATTTTGATCATTTTTTAAAAAGTCAACCCTGGGCTCGTTTGGTCAAAATCTAAGATTCGGATCAAAATCCGATTACCCATTCACCCCCAAGTCCAGTATGTGATTTGTTTCGAAATTCGACCTCAATTAAAGGTCTAAAACACAATTTTACAAAATCCCTAAATTCTACCCAAAACCCCTAATTTCTACCATGAAATTCCTAGATTTGATGTTAAAAACTCATGATTCTTTTCTTGAGAGACACTACAAGAAAACAGGTAAATTGCGGAGGTTTATTTGTGGAGGGTATAAGTAACCTCCGCAATTTGCATAAATTTGCGGCACTTTGTTATCCCCCACAAAATTATACAATTTAAGGGGGTTATAAACTTTCGCAACCCATAAAAAAAAAAAGCGCCCAATTTATTTCACACTCCCTCCTTTTTTTTCCCCAACCTAGAAACATCCGCCTTAACACTCCGCCTGATCGACTCCCCTTTAACTCTCTCTCTCTCTCTCTCCGCCTAACAGAGAAAAAGAAGAAGAAACTAAGTCCAAAATCACGTTAGATTGAAATCCAACGTTAACAGCAAACTGCTTCATAGATTGAAATCCAAATCAATTCACGTTGAAATCCCTTAATACTCCCGCCTAATTGAAATTTCCCTAAATCTCCTTCTAGGTACTGCTGAAGCATCATCCATCTTCAAAGTTGGTTCTGATTCTCATCGTGTACAGAAGGTAAGCTTATTTCGAGATTCATTTCTTTTAATTGTTTCCTCACTATATGGGTTGTTCTTCGGCTTCTCTGGTATTGGGTATTGTTTTCTTCTTCTTAGTTTTTGAAATTTATTTTGAAGAACAAGAGTAACATCTGTTAATACATTTTTGGATAAGCTTTTATTTTTAGGAAGTTTTGCACTACTGTTTTCTTTTCGAAATATTTTTATTTATTCTGAATTTTTTGCTAAACCAACAGGCAATATAAAAAAGTCTCCTGAATAGAGATAACTATATTTGATTTTCCTATTGCAATGATTGACATAATTAAGAACTATAGAAATTGCAGGTGTGTATTGAGAGACCTCTTCAGTATAGAAATTACTAATCCAGCTAAAGTAACGATAAAATACTAGGTAATAAAATAGATACTTCAGTGTTTCATGCTTCTGCAAAAATAAATCGAACACCTAATGGATTAAGAATTAGATAAAAGTCTTTCTAAGAGAATTCATATCGATTCATCAATTTAGGTAATAAACTTTGGAGTTTCAGCAACATCAAGAAATTCAATTGCAAAAGCTATTATTTATAATGATATTAGAATCAATTATTTTATATTTAATCAAAATATATTTAACATAATTTTGTGTTTATACTAAGTGAGAAGGATCTCTCACGGATCAGACCTTTTGACATTTACCACTTGAATTCATAGACCATAATCCATTGTTAATACTGGTTTTGTGTGATTTTTACTAGGGTTCAGGCCACGGGACAGACAACTCCTTCATTTCAGGCCACAAGACAGACAACTCCTTCATTTCAGGCTACAGGACAGACAACTCCTTCATTTTAACCTCCAATTAATCCCATACCAGCACAAGCAACATCCAATAAGCGTGCTAAACGCGAGTCTTCACATCATTGGACTGTCGTTGGAATAGGTAATCATTATCCTTTCGTTGCTGTATAGGACTTTAGAGTCTAATTGTGGGAATTTTTCTAATTGTGGCTCTTCGCATATCTGTTGAATTTTGTCTAATATTTCTGGTGATTTCTATTTTCTGGTAGGACTTTTTGTCTAGTCGCTTTACCTTGGAGCATCCATCTGACTGAAACTTGAATCAGTCTTTGCTCTTCCCCTTCTATCAATTGTACTGACAGAGGAATGCATACTTCTACACTTTTGCAAGGAAAACAATTGAGGTTAAGTATATAAAGAGTACATTTTGTGGTATCTGGTGTCAATGCTTAGGAAAAGATTACCTGCATAGGTTTTGTCTTTACAAATGGGTGGAGTATGGGAGATGGTCTGTGCAAAGTAAAATCTATCAAATGATATGATGTGTCAGTTTCATTACACATTGCTGTAAGCTTAAGCTCAGGTGTATTAAAACTTTTACTTCAGAAGCTATGCTTATTCATATGTTTGTAGTGTTGTGCTGCTCGATTTCTTTCTTCTCATGAGCAGTAGTAATTCAGAAGTGCTATTGTTTGTTTTAACCCCTTTCATTGAAAAAATCTAAACGAGACCTCTCTGGTTTTGGAGGCCATGCCTCATTCTTCAATCATGAAGTAAAAATTGTAGATGTATTTCAACTAGTTGACAATGCAAAGAGTAGATTTACAGTTTATGCTTGGGGTATGGCAGATGTATTTCAAAAAGACCTCTCTATACCATATCTCTTACCTTCATTACTATTTACTTCAATTTTTTAAAATTTTGAGCAGTCAGTTAAAAAATTTAGATAAGGAACTTGCTAAGGGTTTGGGAATTTTCCAAAAATGCTAAGGACCAGTTATACTAGACCAATTCTTTATCTCAATTGTAGCTTTATTCATGTGGTGTCTTGGCTGATATTGCCTTGCATTGCAATGCATCATCCTTGAAGTATTTCCTACAATCTTTATGTTCCAATAAAACATTAATATTATTTAGAGACTAGTTTGATGCTCAATCTTTTATTTAGAGACTAGTTTGATGCTCAATCCTGATACTCTTCTTAATAGTTGTATTTCTTTTTTTACTTTTTGCTTCAGCCAAGTGATGCAGTTAGTGGGCCCGTTTCACCGACGGATGAAAGAAGATCTTCAGGCGCTAGTAATCCCAGTAACAGCCATTGAGATTCATTTTAATTGAAGTGGATGTATTATGACAATGTAATAGCTGACTAATATAGACGGTTAACTATGTTCTAATTTAACTTGTTGACATATGATACTACTCTTCATAGTATTTTTCACGGTTAATGAAATGTTGATGTTTCTTAATTTTAATGTTTTGCTTTAAGCATAAATATTTCAATTGATATTAGGGAAAATGTATGGCAAATTGATGATAAAAAATCAATTCTATAATATATTTAAAAATAGACGGGGATAAAACCCTTAAAGAGAAATTGAACAAGTCCTGACATAAGAATTTGTGGGGGTTTACAACCACTACACTCAAAAAAAAATTAAATTTTAAAAATAAAAATCTATATTCGCGCATGAAATTGCGGAGGTTAAAATTGAAATTTGCGGAGGTTAGAAACCTTCCTATTTGTTGTCACGGCGGTTCGGGAAACCCTCGCATTTATCTGCCGCAAATTAATAGTGGCGATGCTTACTGCGGGGGCCTGCTCAACCGCCGTGACAGCAAATAGCGGAGGTTACTAACCTCCGCAAACTGCAATTTTAACCTCCGCAATTTACCCATTTTTTTGTAGTGAGAGTTTATCCGAAACAACCTCTCTACCCTTAAAGGTAGGGGTAAGGTCTGCGTACACACTACCCTCCCTAGACCCGACTCGTGGGATTACAATGGGTTTGTTGTTGATGATGTTAAAAACTCACGAAAAGAAATGGACATTGATTGAACACTAGTTAAAGTTGCGTACCAATTATTTTGGGAAGAAAAGCTCCGAAGATTTTCCCCTCTTTTACACAGCTCCAGGTATCGCAATGCGACCATCGTAAAATGCAAAACACTAATCACAAATGCGTACAATGCCCTCAGACTGCATAAGTCGTAAATGCGGCAAATACATCACATTGAGGCCCATTCCATCGCAAATGAGATTAAAGATTAGCAATTGTGAACCTTCCTAATTCCAATGCCCAGTCGCAAAAGCGACCAAACCATCATAAAAGCGATCCAGATATGTGCGCAATTGCATATATTTCTTAGCAAATACGAAGATTATCCTACCCAGCCCACTACCGCAAATGCGATCTATTGACTGCAAAAGTGTGCTCCTGAATGCGAGCCAAACCTCGGAAATGCGATATCTGCAGACTACAACAGCAACAGGACCACGCCAGCAATTCCAATTTCAATAAAATCTCATCCGGATCACCCGAACCCCCCGGGCTCCAAATCAAACATGCACACAAGTGTAATAACATTTTACAAACTTGATCTCTATCTCAAATAATCAAAATAACATCAAATAACAAGAATCGATCATCAAAACCCAAGAATTTTAACTTTAAAACTCATTTTCACATTTTTTTACATAACATGCTGAAATGCGCTTGGGTCACCCCGGACCCCAACCAAACATGCGTACAAGTCCAAAAACATCATACAAACCTACCAAAATCGTCAAAACACTGATCTGAGATCGTTTAACAAGAATATTGACCTTGGTCAACTCAAGTCTCATTTTAGGCCAAAATCATATTTTCTTCAAAATTTTACATAAAACCTTTTCAGAAAATAATACGGACCACGTGCGCAAATCGATAAACATCAAAGGAATCTATAAGAGGTCTCAGAACATGAAAATTAAGGCTAGTGCCCAAAACGACCTATCGTCTTGTCACATTCTCTACCTCTAAAAGTAATTCTCGTCCTCGAGCGAATAGAAAAAAGTGCATGGACTGGTAAAAAGGTGGGGGTATCTACTCAGCATATTGGACTCAGACTCCCACGTAACCTCCTCAATCGGTTGACCTCTCCATTGCACTTTCACAAAAGGAAAACTCTTAGATCTCAACTTACGAACCTGCCGGTCTAGAATAGCCACTAGCTTTTCCTCATAGGCTAAATTATCATCAAGTTGCACCGTGGTGAAGTCCAAAACATGTGACTTGTCTTCATGGTACTTCTAAAGCATAGAAACGTAAAATATCGGATGTACACGTACTGGGCTAGGAGGAAATGCAGGTCTATAAGCAACCTCCCCAACTCTCTCCAAGATCTCAAACGGGCCAATAAACCTCGGGCTTAACTTTCCCTTCTTCCCAAATTGCATCACGTTCTTCATAGGCGACACTCTGGAGAAGAACTATGATGACCTTGTTTTGAAAGTAAATCCTGTGTTTCGAGGCCTTAAAAACCTCTTTTTGTCTCACCTTGATTTGCGTGTGCAGTCCGTGCGCATTTTCGGAAAGATTTTATGTGAAAACTAAGTAAAATGTGGAAATTGGCTTTTAAAATTGAATAAAGTTGACTTTGGTCAACATTCTTGGTAAAAGGACCCGGACCCATGATCCGATAGTCTCGTAGGGTCCGTAGTAAAATATGGGGCTTGGGCGTATGCCCGGAATCAAATTCCGAGGTCCCAAGCCCAAGAAATAAATTTTTTAAAGAAAATTGTTTTCTGGAAAATATAAAGATTTTTAGAAGTGAATCTATGCATTTTCTTGATGGTATCGAGCCCGTATCTTGGTTCCGGAGCCCAATACAAGTTTGAAATAATGATTAAGTTAAATCTGTAAAATTTGGTAAAGGTCGAAATTGGTTTGGTATAAAACGGACCTATAGTTGAGAAAATAGTAATTTCGATGTTCTTGAGTCATTTCATGAATTTGAGGTTTAATTCATAGATGTTGATGTTATTTTGATAATTTGATCGCACGAGCAAGTCCGTATGATATTTTTGGATTTGCGTGCATGTTTGGTTTGGAGCCGCGAGGGCTTGGGTGAGTTTTGGATAGGCCACGGAGTGCAATTAGACTTGGAAAATAACTATTGCAGGTTCAGAGAACTTGCAGGTCTTTGAACCAGGCTTCACGGTCCGCAGTAAATCTTCGCGTCCGCGGTGGGTCTTCGCGATGTCTTCGCGGCCGCGCTTGATATTTCACGGTCCGCGGTGGAGCTCCGCAGCCGCGGTCCTTTTCATGCAGTCTGTGGTGAGGGTCTGAGATGAGTATATAAACGGGACTTTTCAGCCATCTTTCATTTTTCAAAAAAACCTAAAACATAAGAGGCGATTTTTCAAATACTCTTTCTTCCCTAAAACACAAGTAAGTGATTTTAAACTCATTTCTTTCACTCCTTAACTTCTTTTTACAAGATTTCATCCTAGAATCTAGGGTTCTCATGGTAGAATTGGGAATTTTGGGTAGAACTTAGGAATATTGAAATTTGGGGATTTTGACCTCAAATTGTGGTCGAATTCCAAAATCAATTGTATATCCGGGCTCGGGGGTGAATGGGTAATCGGGTTTTGGCCCGAATTTGGGGTTTGGACCAAGCGAGTCCGGGGTCGATTTTTGACTTTTTGGAAAATCATTTGAAAACCCATTTTTATGCATCAGAATTGATTCATTTAGCATTTATTAATTGTATTAATTAAATTGCGTCTAGATACAAGCGAATTGGTGGTGGAAACAAGAGGTAAAGCGGTAGTTGAGGCTTGAATTGTGTTCGTGGCATCGAGGTAAGTGTTTGGTCTAACCTTAGCTTGAGGGATTAGGAGTTGTGTCTTATTTTCTATGTGATAATTGTTGAGTACGACGTATAGGCATGGTGACGAGTATCTATACGTCGGTGTCAAGCATGCCCGTGAGTCTTATACTTTGATAAATGTGACTCTGTTTCGTATTGTTTATGCTTTATGTGATGATATCTATTGTTGAACAAGGCTTGTGGAAGTATTATTGGTAATTGAACATTGTAGAGCGTTGGCTCAAGTTGTGAATTGAATTGTGGAAGTATTATTGTAATTGAACATTGTAGAGAGTTGGCTCAAGTTGTGAATTGAATTGTGGAAGTACTATTGGTAATTAAACATTATAGAGTGTTGGCTCAAGTTGTGAATTGAATTGTGGAAGTATTATTGGTAACTGAACATTGTAGAGCATTGGCTCAAGTTGTAAATTGAGTTGTGAAGTAATTGTGAAAAAGAGAAGAGGTTTATGAAATTATCTCCCTTGCCGGGATGTTATTGCTTTTGATATTATCTCCCTTGCCGGGATGTTATTGCCTTTGATATTGTTTCCCTTGCCGGGATTTTGTTGTGATTTTATTTATTCCCTTGCCCTTATTGCTTGTGGTTGTTGTTTGGGTAAGGAAGAGTGTAAAAGCACGAAGGGTGATGTCGTGCATGATATTTGTGAGAGAGTGTTAATGCATGAAGGGTGATACCGTGCCGATATTGTGAGGTTAAAGCACGAAGGGTGATGCCGTGCCGCACGATGTACAATGCCGTGCCATGATATGAGTGATAATGCACAAAGGATAATTTCGTGCCATGATTATGTGAGGTAAAAGCACGAAGGGTGATGTCGTGCCGATTATATTGATTCTTATGGTGAGGACGAGAGTAAAAGCACGAAGGGTGATGCCGTGCACTTGTCTTTGATTTTCCTGATTCTTGCTGATAATTGAGTTATGGTGTTATTTACGGTTGTTTATCAGTTTTCTGTTGTTACTTGATTTCCCCCGCAGCATGTTTTCCCCTCCTATCTTTACCTGTAAATTTCTACTTTTACTTTTCCGTTGTATATGATTTAACTGCACAGGTTTATTTGGTAGTCTGGTCCTAGCTTCGTCACTACTTCACCGAGGTTAGGCTAGGCATTTACCAGCACATGGGGTCGGTTGTGCTGACACTACACTCTGCACTGTGTGCAGATCCCGGTGCTGCAGCTTTTGGACCATAGTGAGGCTGCTGCTTCCAAACCGTCAGGCGACCCGAGGTAGTCCTGCAGGCGTCCGCAGGCCTTGGCGTCTCCTTCTATCATTTTCTTTCTATTTTTACTTATTCAGAGACAGATTCGTGTAATTCTATTCAGACCTTATTTGTAGTATTCTTAGACAGTCTGTGAGATTGTGACACCAATTCTGGGTAGCTTATGTTATGGATTAGTGTTCGTATTATTATTTAATTGTTACACTTCATTCTTCCACCTTATTATTTTGGTTGTTGACATAATGTTTATTCATAATTGTTAAGGGATTTAAAAAAAATGAAAATGGTTGAATAATTGGAATAATTGGCTTGCCTAGCTCTCATTAGTAGCGCCATCACGACTCCCGAGGGTGGAAAATCCGGGTCGTGACA